AAAAAAAACAAGAGCAGAGATACGAAGTCTATTGAAAACGAACAAAGGCTAATGCAAAGTTCGCCAAGGAGGAAGGAACAATTGCATAATTCGCAGTCTAGTAACATGAAGTAGATTTTGATTTTTGATGACGAAGTGTATTGGAAGAAAATGTACACGAATACAACTCACCCCAACCCAACCTATCCCATCTGAACCAAACTCAACTCAACACAACCCAACCTAATTCAACCCAACTACATCAAAGCCATCAGAAAATGCAATCTACAATTTGCTATATTTTCCAAAGAGTCAAAAGATTATGCAAGGGGAAAATTTAAGAATGAAGAATAACTTTTAAATAACATACTTCCAAGTCAAGTGACTGAAGATGGGCAACATTGTGGAAAGACATCAAACTACGTAACGTATTATCCATAACAAAGCTACTAATAAATTAATATCTAATTATGTTGTGTATGGCCCTGGAAGACCACAATAACTAGTAGAAAAAAGAAGAGCAGAGATAGTCTGCAGAATACGAAGTCTATTAAAAACGAACAAAGGCAAATGCAGAGGTTGCCAAAGAGGAAGGAACAGGTGTATAATTCGCAGTCTGGTACCATGAAGCAGATTTTGCTAAAGAAGATCAAAGGTAGGTGTAGTCCAAGGTTTATAGAACGTAAGGTTACCTCATTCCCTATGCCTCTGTAGTATCGATTATTACCCCGCAAATTGACGTCACTGGTTCGATACAGTCAGAATAAAAGATAGATACGTGCCTATACTGTGGTACAGTCTATATAAAATATTTAAACCTCGCATCGTGTTGTGTTGTCCTTGTTTATAGATATATCTATAAACAAGGGTGTTGTGTTGTTCATAGAACCAGCTACGTCACTGACCCACCTTGCCTCTCAGAGGAGGAGAATCGGTATTGGGTAACCTTATGTTCTATAGACCTTGGGTGTAGTCTGAATAGTGTTATTGCAAAATGAAACCTGTTCATAAATGTTGCACGTAACAAGTTCTGCAAAAATTAAGAACAAATGCAGAATGTAATGTCTTCAAATACAACAGACTTCCGATAATCCGGCATCATGTTCGGGACTTTACCGGTGCGTAAAATTAAAACCGAAGACGTTAAAAATTAGCCTTGTTTAGACATTGAAAACTTGATCAGAAATGATTTCAGCAAATTTTTCCGTATATTGTTGTGCTGCAATAAAATCAGCAGATGCACTGATTCGCATTATGTACTTACATGAATCAAATAGCTTTACTGTTGTGAAATATATACGTATAGATTACAGGGATTCCCTTAAATGTATATATTTCACCAAGGGCGTAGATATCTTTTATTTCTAATTCTTTCGCCAAATAGTGCTTAGAATCAAGGTTTATGGGGGAAAATAAAATAAACATTAACGTCAGAAATTAGAATTATAATTATTGCTAAAGCCCTAAAGTAGTAGTAAATTAAAAAAAAATATACGGAAATACACATTTTCTTTTCTTTATTCTGGGGGGGGGTAATTAACCCCCTTTACCCCCTTTATCGACGCCCTTGTATTTTACAACCTCGGGAATCCCCTGTTCTTTTCATCAAATAATAAGTGTGTGTAAAGGTTGTAAGAAATTTAACTTATTTAAAAAAATAAACAATTTTTGATATTGTCAAAAATATCAAGTATATTTTTATCAAAAAAAACTACATTTCGAAATCTATACAAATACAAAAAAAAAATCAAAAATAAATATTTACGAACACGACAAAAACAGAGAAAATAATAAAACTAAGATTAATCTATATTAATACTTTGGTGTTTGTCGTTCTTATAAGAAGAAACTACTTCTTATAAACTACAACTAAAATTATAAATAATACAAACGTGAAAAAGAAAAATGAAATTTTTTTTCTTTTATTAAGTTTTTTTTAGTAAATAAATATTAACGTTAACTAAACACTACTTATGTATAAAATATAAATAATACGAAAACTAAAGACTAGATAACAACCGTAAAGAACTGTTTTGAACTCTTCGTTTGAGGCACTTTGTAAAGAATTTTGAGCAAAAAAATCCAAATCGTTCGGTTAAAATACGCGTGTTTTGTAGATCATCATCACAGATTCGAATCTTTCACTCTTATCTTTTCTTTAAATACTTATAAATTGAGATCATCTTGTCTACTGACCAGTTTTACATTTTTCGTTTTTTTCTTCTTAATAGCGGTAAATTAAGAGATCATAAACTCAAAGAGGTATTTCATAAACTAAAAAATCAATCGAAATTAAAATAGTTTTAGAAAAATACCTAAAATACATGTATTCAGTAACGAAAACTAAATCTTTTTTTTTTCGAATAAACGCAACAATGCAAAATAACGACAAAAGGATAAACAACCAATAAATCTTTTTTTTTTCGAATATAAGTCGTGATTTTAATCGCAAAAATATAAATTATTTACTTCTGTTGGCGTTTCTGGTTGTTCGTATTCTGCGAATTTCGTTGAAATTTCTTCTTCTTGAACTACTTCTTGTTGCTGCGTTGTCGAAGACTGCGAAACGGATTGTTCTATCGTTTGATCGATGAATCGAACCAATAATTCCATGTTTATTGGATCTACGTTTAACATCATGCAAATATCGGACGCTGCTTGTCGCGCTGATGATAATTTTAATCCACGAACGGCGGAACATAAGCAAGCGGCGGCTATTAATGATGGTGCATATTGGATTAAACTTGGTTCTGAAACAAAATAAATAATTTTAATTTTTTAATAATAATTATTAATTATTACAGTAAATTTCACTTAAAATGCAATATAATATGTACTAAAATATATTTCCATAGAAACCAGAGTAAGTAGGTGCATACCAAGATACTTACTTTGTCCCACATAAAATATAATATATTTAACATTACAATAAAACGTCGATATAACGGATTAATACGTCTCTTAAGACAGCTTAACCCGAATGATTCTAGTTTTTGAATTGGTACTGAATATCAATTAAAACTAGAACTAACACTTTACTATGTAGAACTAATACTATACCTAGAACTAGAATCATTTGGGTTTAGCCGCACGTCTCTAAAGACGGCTAAACCCAAATGATTCTAGTTCTAGGTATAGTGTTAGTTCTAATTTTGCACTTGCACTGTCACTAGAACTAACACAAGAGCTAGAACTAGAATCATGCGGGTTTAGCCGTCTTGAGAGACGTGCTGCTAAATCCGAATGTTTCTAGGTCTAGTGTTACTTCTAGTTTCACACTAGTACTATCATTAGAACTAACACTAGACCTAGAACTAGAATCATTCGGGTTTAGCCGTCTTAAGAGACGTGCGGCTAAACCCGAATGATTCTAGTTCTAGGTATAGTGTTAGTTCTAGTTTTACACTAACACTTTACTATGTAGAACTAATACTATACCTAGAACTAGAATCGTTTGGGGTTAGCCGCACGTCTCTAATGACGGCTAAACCCAAATGATTCTTGTTCTAGGTATAGTGTTAGTTCTAATTTTGAACATGCAGTGTCACTAGAACCAACACAAGACCTAGAACTAGAATCATTCGGGTTTAGCCGTCTTGAAAGATGTGCGGCTAAACCGGAAACTTTCTAGTTCTAGGTCTAGTGTTAGTTCTAGTTTTACACTAGCACTATCACTAGAACTAACACAAGACCTAGAACGAGAATCATTCGGGTTTAGCCGTTTTGAGAAACGTGCGGCTAAATCCGAATGTTTCTAGTTCCCGGTCTAGTGTTAGTTCTAGTGTTACACTAGCACTATCACTTGAACTAACACAAGACCTAGAACTAGAATCATTCGGGTTTAGCCGTTTTGAGAAACGTGCGGCTAAACTCGAATGTTTCTAGTTCTAGGTCTAATGTTAGTTCTAGTGACAATGGTAGGTAGCGCTAGTTAGCATAAGAAATCACTATGTTGCATATTTTTATTGAACTAAAACTAGAACTAACACTAGACCTAGAACTAGAAAAATTCGGGTTTAGCTGTCTTAAGACGTATGGCTAAATCCGAATGTTTCTAGTTCTAGGTTTAGTGTTGGTTCTACTTTTATTTCAGTAAAAATTGACAACAATTTAGTGCTTAATAACAATTACAACTAGAACTAACACTAGACCTAGAACTAGAAAGTGAAGACGGACGGCTAAACCCGATATTCACTAGTTCTAGTTAGTTAATCTAGTTACTAACTAATACTAGATGCACAGAAATGTTCAAGGATCAACAGATCCTGGGGAAAGAGGAGAGAATTTTTAACATGAACGAGATTCTGTACGAACCGGACATCTTGCAAGCGTGGAGGTAGAAAAAGTGGAGGTAATAGCATACTTAAAAAAGGAAAATCTCCAGGATACAACGATATATACATGGTATACATGGCTCAAGGATTGGTCTGCCTCTACTTTCATTCCTATACATAAGAAGAGTGTATTGCTGAAGTTCAGCGACTTTTAAAATATTTTACAAAAGCACATAACCTATTAGTGCCTTAACCCAACCTCATCCTTATTTCTAAAAAATCTCAGTACAACCTCATTGTCCATAAAAAAACATGCTGCGTTGCAAACTCAGCCTGACATTCTATAAAATTTTCATTTTATACAGAATCATTCTAATCACGTCACGATGTTTCAAAGCATTTTTAATTCTAGAATGTCTAAATCCAACCATATGAATGTCTATGAATGTCTCAACCAGATCAGATTTTATTGCATACTGTAATCTCATCTGTACAGTATTGAGGTTACAACTCCGAGGAGAGTTAAGAAAATATGAGAAATACTATATTTCCAGATACCAAAAGTAATAAGATGAAAAAGCCTTGCTTTAGACTATACCTTATTATAAAAGTAAATAACATCTTTGATGTTCAAACTCGACGAGGAATACAAACTTATCATACTAGAAGTATCGTACTTGAACTCGGTATTGTTCCAGATCCTGCTGTCACTTCGCAGACCTCTATTTATCTTGCACAACTGATCCCAAACTTCAGAAAACAAAGAGTCACCCTAAACTCCATTGGATCAATAATCAAAGCTTTTGAGGAATTTTTGCAATTTTTGGGTTGAACAGTGTTTCTGATCAACTTAATTTGAATTGCAACGCATTCCTTGTCATTTAAATCAGCATATAAGGAAAGAAAATATTTATGCCAATTCGCATTTTTTTGAAAACCAGGTTTTGCAGGATTTTTTTGCAAGATTTGGGTTGAACAGAATTTCTGATCAGTTTAATTTGGGTTGTATAGCATTCCTTATTATTTAGACCAGCAAATAAGGAAACAAAACATTTCTGTCAATTTGTAATTCTCTGGAAACCTGGTTTTGCTGATTTTTTTGCAAGATTCGGGTTGAGAAGAATATCCGATCAATTTAATTTGGATCGCATCGTATTCATAGAACTAGTTAACAGAACTAGAGCTAGTTAGTTAGTGAAAATAATTAAACGTATATTTATGCTTTTATTGATATATTAAGTTTTACACTCTGCCTGACGCGTTTCGGCGATTTACGCCATCTTCGGAGGCTTTCGTCCTTTTTGGTTATGCTACGTAGTACATAAAATATCGGTTTCTTTTTTATGTGGTAAAGTTAAGATGTTTCTTGCAGGGATTATTTTCAAACATTAACATTTAATGGGCTATATTACTACTTGTTTTTCTCGGGAGCGAACAAATTGCAGAAAATGGCGTGCTAGGTGTTCAGTCTTGCGCAACGGCCGAAACGCTTCAGGCAGAGTGCAAAACTTAATATATCAATAAAAGCATAAATATACTATATATATTGATAACAGGGATCCACATTATGAATAGTTAGTTAGTGTTGTGCACTAGCACTATCACCAGAACTAACACTAGACTCAGAATAGAAACATTCGGGGTTAGCCATGTGTATCTTAAGAAGGACGAAAACTTAAGATGACGTCACCTTTTTCCAAGCAAAACTTCTCCTTAGCAAAACTACCGAATGCTTATATTATTAAGCTATGTTGCATTTTATGCATGACCCTGAAAATGCATAGTAGTTTCATAACTATGTTTACTGCATTTATGAAATACCCGGTATATTTTTATATAGTCAAAAATCGAAAGAAAACAGACGTTCCAATTACGACAGGAGTTCGACTGGGTCATAATTATCATGCGACAGGTGGTAAGCCCCAAACGATTCGAATTTATAAAAAAAATGTTAAAAAAAATAACAGGTACTAGGATACACCTTGCGCCCAAGTAACCAACAACAACCTGNTGATAATTTTAATCCACGAACGGCCGAACATAAGCAAGCAGCGGCTATTAATGATGGTGCATATTGGATTAAACTTGGTTCTGAAACAAAATAAACAATTTTAATTTCTTAATAATAATCATTAATTATTACAATAAATTTCATTTAAGATGCAATATACTAAAATATATTTTCATAGAAACCAGAGTAAGTAGGTACCTACTTTGTCCCACATAAAATGCAACACATTTGACATTACAGTAAAACGTGGATATAACGTCTCTTAAGATGGCTAAACCCGAATGATTGTAGTTTTTGACCTGGCGCTACATAACAATTAAACTAGAACTAAACTAGACTTAGCAGTAGAAAGTTTCGGGTTTAATCGTGCGTCTTCAGACGTCGAATCTCTGAAAACGCACGGCTAAATCCTAAACTTTCTACTTCTAGGTCTAGGAATAACAACTAGAACTAAAACTAGCATTAGCACTAACGGTAGATCAAGAACTAGAAACATTCTAGGTTTAGTGTTAGTTCTAGTTTGACACTAACACTAGAACTAGAAAGTGAAGACGCACGACTAAGGCCCACTTTTACCACCTCTTGATAAATTTAACCGATAGATAAATTGGCGCTCTTAGCCAATGAGGGCGCTTAAAACCGCTGTAACCATGGTAATTATCTATCGGTTAAATTTATCAAGAGGTGGTAAAAGTGGGCCTAAACCCGATATTCTTTAGTTCTAGTTAGTGAATCTAGTTACTAACTAATACTAGATGCACAGAAATGTTCAAGAATCAACAGATCCTGGGGAAAGAGGAGAGAATTCTTAACATGCGAATTATTAATCTAGAACTGTTACTTTTAAAATATTTTGCAAAAGCACATAACCTATTTGTGCCTTAACCGAACCTCATCCTTATTTCTAAAAAATCTCGGTATAACCTCATTGTCCATAAAAAAACGTTGCAACTCAGCCTGACATTTTATAAGATTTTCATTTTATACAGAATCATTCCAATCACGTTACGATGTTTCAAAGCATCTTTAATTCTAGAATGTGTAAATCCAACCATATAAGCATGAATGTCTCAATCAGATCAGATTTTATTGCATACTGTAATCTCATCTGTACAGTATAATTAAGAAAATATGAGAAATACTGTATTTTCAGATACCAAAAGTAATAAGATGAAGAAGCCTTGCTTTAGACCATATCTTATTATAAAAGTAAATAACATGTTTGATGTTCAAACTTATATAAAAAAAAACTTGGTATTGTTCCAGATCCTGCTAGACCACCAGCCAAAAATAACGTCACTGGACAGACCTCTATTTATCTTGCACAACTGATCCCAAACATCAGAAAACAAAGACTCACCCTAAACTTCATTGGATCAATAATCAAAGAAGCATCAACGCAGAAAACACCAGTATTCGAGGAATTTTTGGGTTGAACAGTGTTTCTGATCAACTTAATTCACATTTTTTTGGAAACCAGGTTTTGCAGGATTTTTTTGCAAGATTTGGGTTGAACAGAATTTCTGATCAGTTTAATTTGGGTTGTGTAGCATTCCTTATTATTTAGAACAGCAAATAAGGAAACAAAACATTTCTGTCAATTTATAAATCTCTGGAAACCAGGTTTTCATGATTTTTTTTGCAAGATTCGGGTTGAGAAGAATATGCGATCAATTTAATTTGGATCGCATCGCATTCATAGAACTAGTTAACAGTACGAGAACTAGAATCATTTGGATTTAGTCTAACTAACACTAGACCCAGAATAGAAACATTCGGGGTTAGCCGTGTGTATCTTAAGAAGGACGAAAACTTAAGATTGTCATAATGACGTCACCTTTTTCCAAGCAAAACTTTTCCTTCTCAAAACTACCGAATGCTTGTACTATTAAGCTATGATACATTTTATGTATGACCCTGCAAGTGCACAGTAGTTTCATAACTATGTTTACTGCATTCATATATTGCGAGTTATATGAAATGCCCGGTATATTTTTGTATAGTCAAAAATCGAAAGAAAAAACAGACGTTCCAATTACGACAGGAGTTCGACTGGGTCATAATTATCATGCGACAGGTGGTAAGCCCCAAACGATTCGAATTTATAAAAAAAATGTTAAAAAAAATAACAGGTACTAGGATACACCTTGCGCCCAAGTAACCAACAACAACCTGCGATCGCTATCCCATTTGAGAGCAGATGTATAAGATTCGCCGCCTCCCGTATCTTTTCATAGCCTTGACTCTTGCGCTGGACCAAATTATTGCTTTCGGCGATTTTTATAGAGAACAAAGACCGAAAAAGTGGGCAGACGCGAAAAAAACTTATTCGCAGAAACGAATACAACGATATAGGTCAGATTGACCATGAAAAAAATAAAATATTCAAAAAAAAACTATTTATTTTATCCAGATGTTAAAAACACAAAAGAATCTTCACCTTCTTTTAAAAGCGTAAGAAAAGTCTCCCTAAATAAATCTTGGATCATTGTTAAGGTTGGGTTCCTAAACTTTACACAAAACCCGGAAAAAGTCTTAGGTAGTTCAAAACACAATCGATCCTTTGTCCCCCATAAACCCTGTTTTCTTGCGATTCTCTTCGACAGTTGCTTGCGTAACAACGGTTGAAAATTCGAAGTTTCGAACACTTGGGTTGCGATAAACGCAGGTGGCGATAACGTATTTCGATTCAATTGCCCTCCTTAAAGACTAAAAGTAACCGAAAGCCGATCTGTCGTCGAAAGTGAATCAACGAACCGTGTCTTCTTCAAAGACATCTTTGGATTCTCGTGGCGCGTGCTTCCGGAACCATTTCGATCTTGATACCAAAAAGCTTTGAATGCACCATTTGGGGTTTATAAGAACATTTGGTCGCGTGCCTCGATATCTTTACCGTTTTTACTTTTTAAGACCTTCGTCGAGACTTTTTAAAATAAGCAGCTGCACAAGGTATTGAAGAAAATTCGTTAGGTTCAAGACCCCGGGGGAAAAAATAAGCCGTGGGTACAAACATAACGTCGGAAAGAAAAAAAAAAAAATAATAATAAAGAGAAGTTGACAAAAAGAGTTACAACCAGTCTTTTACTAGGTGCTAGCCAACGGTTGGGACAAATTAGCGATAGAAGGAATCTATTAGAATGCAGTTAGGGAGGCAACAGGTTTCGCCGTGACGACGGTAAAAAATAGGGGGCTGATGGTGTCCGGTTCATCGCACTCAGGGAAAGACGAACCGAAGGAAAAGGAAACGTTTGAAGGCGGACTACACCTGCTGTTTCTGTTTCTACGACAGCACATGCTGTCTTTGGAAGAAAACTGGAACGAGCTATCACGTGTTTTAATCGTACACCTGGAGTCTAAGAGGTCAACATTTTGTTGGGTATTGAACTTATTATGTAACTCCACCAGGTAAACAACCCCTAAAGAAAAGAAACTATAATTTCTTAACTTAAATTTTTTTTAATATTAATCCGGCACGAGACGTCTTTTAAAGAAGGACATCGTCTGGAAATTCTTAGTGGTCCGGCAGCTGAGGGGGCTTCTCCTAGACAAGGTGTCGCGACGACAACAAAAAAAACTCCCTTTATTATTTCTTTTACCCGCGGAGAAAGTCAGCAGACGCCCGCGGGAGAGCCGCCGTAGACGGTATTGTTTAAAATCGCCAGGTGTGCAGAAAATCCTCCGGCTTCCTATTGTCGTTGAAGTCGCGAATCGGCGGGGGCAAAGAACCAAGGAAACCAAAGCGGCGGCGACGCCGTCGAAGACCCTTTTACATCCCTATTCCATCCCTTTCCGTTTCTTTTAAGGGACAGGTTTTTTAGGTCCAAGTCGTTAAAGGGTTAGTTACCACCGTTACTATACGTCGTCGTCGTCGCGACGTCTTTTCTGTAAGGGTCACTCTAAAAAGGGTTATTTTAAAAAATGTTTATTTTGCACGCTCGTGAAGAAACCATAAAAATTTGTCTCGAATGACTCGTGATTTTTAAATAATTAGGGGTTATTTCGGTTGGGTTGATTTGAATTAGGGTTGATTTCGCTTTTAGGTGGGAAAATGAGAAATTTAATACTTCCAGAAGCTTTATATCTACGTTAAAGAGAGAAAAGATTTATTCTAAATTATAAGAATGAAACAGATGTTTTTAAAGTAATTTAAAACCAGTTTATGGCAAAAACCTAACCCCCTACAAAATTAAACGATTGTACACACCCCTGCAATTGAAATTTGAGGAAAAAATTACTAGAACTAAAGCTAGCATTAGCACTAACAGTAGATTTAGAACTAGAAACATTCGGGTTTAGCCGTGCGTCTCTTAAAACGGCTAAACCCGAATGCTTTTAGTTCTAGGTTTAGTATTAGTTCTAATTTTAATTCAATAAAATATACAACAACCTAACGCTGAATATCAATTAAAACCAGAACCTATAACTAGATCCTCAGACGCACGGCTAAACCCGAAACTTTCTAGTTCTAGGTCTAGTGTTTGTTCTAGTTTTACACTAACACTTTACTATGTAGAACTAATACTATACCTAGAACTAGAATCATTTGGGTTTAGCCGCACGTCTCTAAAGACGGCTAAACCCAAATGATTCTAGTTCTAGGTATAGTGTTAGTTCTAGTATTACACT